TATATATATATATATTATATATTATATATATATATATATATATATAAGCATATATTGGTATATATACACACACATACATACACGCATATATATATATATATATATATATATATATATATATATATATATATATATATATATATTATATATATATATTATATATATATATATAATATAATGTACATACACACACACACACACACATATACGTGTGTGTGTGTGTGTGTGTGTGTGTGTGTGTGTGTGTGTGTGTGTGTGTGTGTGTGTGTGTGTGTGTGTGTGTGTGTGTGTGTGTGTATGCATATATATGCATATATATGCATATATATATATATATATATATATATATATATATATATATATATATATATGCATATATATATGTATATATATAAAAAAAATAATATATACATATATATATATATATATATTTGTATATGTATACGTATATGTATATGTACATATATATGTATATGTAAGTATATGTGTACACACACACACACACACACACACACACACACACACACACACACACACACACACATACACACACACACACACACACACACACACACACACACACATACACACACACACACACACACACACACACACACACACACACAACACACACACACACACACACACATATATATTATATAATATATATATATATATATATATATATATAATATATATATATATATATATATATGTGTGTGTGTGTGTGTGTGTGTGTGTGTGTGTGTGTGTGTGTGTGTGTGTGTGTGTGTTGTGTGTATATGTATATGTATATATATTATATAATATATATATATATATATATAGTGTATGTATGTATGTGTGTGTGTGTGTGTGTGTGTGTGTGTGTGTGTGTGTGTGTGTGTGTGTGTGTGTGTGTGTGTGTGTGTGTGTGTGTGGTGTGTGTGTGTGTGTGTGTGTGTGTGTGTGTGTGTGTGTGTGTGTGTAAGAAATTGATTATGAGGACTTTTATGAGGAAGGCGTAAAAGATCGTAGGGTACATTGCATAAGATGAAAAAAAATCAAGGCGTGTTTGGTGTATAAATAACCTATCTCTGATACTTCATTGTCATCTCTAAACCTTTTCAAAATGGGTTTAAATATCTTTTAATAATTATTCCACCACAAACCTACAATAATTATAATTCATATTACAAATTACGTAACCCATGGGCATAATACCTCAAATTGGAATGCACTCTTCCATTCACATTCGAAAGCAAAGTATTTGTAAACACTGTTTCCAAAGCCGAGGCGAGGCGCGGTGAGGGCGAATCAGGAATTACAGTTCTATAAAAAAGAAAAAAAGAAAGAAGAACCGGAAATTAAGTCTAACACCTATAAAAGAAGAAGAAGAAGAAATTGAAAATTAAGCGTAAAACCCTATAAAAGAAGGAACACGGAGAAGAATCGGAAATTCGGAATTTCGGAATATACTTTATTGTCAAGGTAATGCAAGTCTCGTCTACTACATAGGAATATTTCGTATGTAACTGGTTGGCGCGAGTTACATTTTGAGGCATTATTTCAGATCTAGAAATGAGTTACAGTGGTAATGCTATTATTGGGATAGCACCTTTATTTTCTGGATCGCTAGCTAGGGGACCCGGAAATATATAGCATATACTGATGCACGAGATATCAAAGATAAATCAAAAGGTGTTTTAGCCTCTTTTTTAAGCCTGTGTTCAGGGTTGTTAGTTAAAATTGTAAGAAAACAATGTATCTTTATGTGCCAGTTGCAATATAAACATACATCAGCATTGCTTGGCTGACTAATATATAGCTTTTTTAAGCTACATGTTATGCATATAGCAGCTGTATCCTATTAGCCATACAGCACACATGTGCATATGTACATTTAAATGTTATTCCTAACCGAAGCTAACCTAACCTAAACCTAACCTAACCAAAACTAACCTAACCTAACCTAACTAAAACATCCTAACCTAACCTAACCTAATTTAAAACCTAGTCTAACCTGAAGTAACTTAAAACCTAATCTAACCCAATATAATACCCAACCTAAATGACCCTAACCGAACTTAACTGAAAAGCAACCTAAACTAAAACCTAAGTTGTTTAAAAGCAGTGGTTCACTTGGTCAAATTCTTGCTCCGAGGCCAAGAACTGCACCATCCGCTGTTGAAATGACTGCTAGAGTTTGAGCAGTGTTGCTAGTCCATGTAAGCAGCTCTATCAAATGTCAATCCAGAAAATTTCTACACTTAAACTCAAGTATTTTCAGCAATAAACATTTTAAATAAATATATCTACCCTAACATCTTAACAGAGCATATTTTCTCCTTTATGCATATGCAGTGCCTCTAAAACAGTAACACACACTTCAAATTGGGCAACCCCTACACTCAGATGCACTGTCAAAACAAATGGAGATCACTGAATTAAGATATAGACCCATTTCTATATTTATGACCTTATGAAGTTGAAAATAAAGTCACTGAATATAATAGAAGAAGAATGTTATAAGAATTTTGAAAAATTACCTACCTTCAAGAACTGTTGGGTGGATTATTTTCCATGCAATAATGCTAATAATAACACTAATAACAAAGATGATAATAATGATAATAATAATATAATAATTATTATTATTATCATTATTATTATTTAATGTCAATGTCAACATCAGTGTTAATGTCAGTATCATTTTTGCTGTAACTATTTTTTGTCTTTCTCAATTTAGAAGAAGCAGTTTAAAAGTAAGAGAAAAATTTGTTTGCCTTAAAATGATTTTATGATTTATGAAAAAAAAAAAAAAACTTTTTCATCCCCATAATCTCCATTATATTTTGTTTTAATTAATTTCATTGCTTTTAATATATTGTTCTAGAAATTACAAAAACAGAAACCATAAAAAATCATTTCTTTGATAAAATATTAAGCGGAGTTCTCCGCCAACACCCACATTCAAAAGCTTGTAACCAGTATGGTACTTGAACGATGCTGTTGCCATGGTGACTTAGCAAGCGAAAGTCTAGCCATCTATAAGGGTGGCTTGAGAAAGCAAGAAAAAAAATTCTTGAGATTGCAAGTTAAAGTCTTGAGATTTTAGGCAAGAAATTTTCCTAATTAAAACTCCCCTAACCTAACCTAAAATCTAACCTAACCTGGGTTTGCTGTACAGTTTGGAAAAAAACAGGTACACATTTTCTTTAGGCCATGAAAAAAAATATTAGTAATAGTCTTTAAAATATTTGTATTGAATGATAATTTCTTATTTTTGTAGATAAAGGATATAGTCATGAGTGATTCTGAAAGTGGGGATGATGCCTATGGACCTCCTCTTCTCCTGGCTTTAGTAAGTATATATATTTATACCTGTAGATTTATTTGTGTCACAGCACATTTTCCTGCTACCCTGATGCAACACAGCAGTAGATATAAGAAGCCAATAGAAAGTGGCAGAAAATTTGATACTGCCTTCTTGAAATTGTTCAGCAGAGTATTTGTGGTTCATATTACTTGGTATTAATATACCACCTAGCCAAGGGTGAGGATCTCTCTTCCTCTCTATGAAATTGAAGGACACCAGCCTGCCCTGCAGCGTTTGCTTTGTTACAAGAGCTCATGACATTGATATGACCATTTATTCAGAGGCTTTCCCCTACCGAGTACTGTTAGTGTATATGAGCAATCATTTTCCCAAAAAAACAATGTGGCTGAGGACCCAGTTTAAGGCAATTTTGCCTACCCCAAATCCTCTTTACTGTGAGAGAGCATAGTGGTCATGTATCTCCCTTTGTGTGGGCCAGACCTACTGTAATTTCAGTTGCCCTGCCTGAAGCAAGAAAGTTTTGGACAATTGCATGGATACACTCCTGTCCCATCCTACAAAACCAGTGCTGGCAGTTCTTTGTGGAGTAATAAAAAAAATGGTTCCCTCCACCATTCTCTTTAGTTAAGGAGTGTGTATGACTTTCTTTTCATCTGTTTCATGACTAAGATGTCAAGCATAGAGTTTACCCTCAGCGTAAATGTGACAAACATAGTTAAGCTCTAGTCATCTCTGTAATTTGTCTCATGTATATTCGGGGAACTCAGATTATTTTTGGAAGAATTGCATCCAGCTAAATTGAATGTTTATTAAAGTGAACCTGAGACTACTTTATGATTAGGTCTGACAGTGCTTAGGTGACTGAAGCATAAGTATAACCCAAGATGGGATGAAATTCATGTTCCTGTGCACCTCTGCTCTCTCATGACTGACTCCTTACCTTGTGCACTACCAAATGTTGTTCCTATAATATGCTACTAGGTATGCTCATGCCGCTAGTATTAAATCTATGGAAATGTTCATGTGGATGGAGGTTCCAGTTTCCACTGGAGCTAGTTTAAAATTTCTGAAAGGAGAGAGATGAAGTGGTATGTGCCTGGCTCTTTTGGTTTTGGAATAGGTACTGTGAGGTAATTTAATTCAGTGGTAGAGTGCAGGCTGTGCAGGTGCAAGGTCCTGAGTTTTCACCCAGTTGCCCCTCGTACTTGACTCAGCTGTGAGTGAATACTGTTATGCTTACATCAGTATCATGGGGTCAAAGACATGGCAGTAAGCCACAGTTCTAGGTAGGCAATCAATAGGATAGGGTATCCCATCACTGCCCAGGGATAGTCAATACCTGGTCCTATGTTTTCTATTTGTTCCTCTTAAAGAGAACAGTTTATTAGTTTACAGGTTCAGACACTTGGCTTGTCTACCTTAATGGAGGCATTCTTGGCTTGCATTCAGCTCTGCCTAACCAGCATAACATGCTTTTAGGGATCATGGTGCATACACTTTGCAATAGGATTCTAAGAGTAAGAAAAATAAAGCTTTCAGTGTTTGTAATATCGTTGATATTGCTAAGGGTACAAATTTGGAAATAAATAGCAGTGAAAACATCTGTGCTCAAACAAGCAAAAATATCTGTTAATGGCTTGTGAACTATTCTCGTAGTCATGGTGCATGATCGATAAATTGAATGTTGTCCATCAAAGAGCATTATCCAGAAATATATGGTATTAGTATGTCTTAATACAGAAAAACATAGATGTTTTCTTTATCTATTCATTAGTTATTATCATTAATAACCCCTTTTTTAGCATGGCAAAAGTAATTTCTAAAGAAATTTTTGAAATTATATTCTATGTTGTTTTATTCATGTTAATTTTGAATTATTCACTGTCTTTAATTTTACTTTATGATACAATTGTTATAATAAAATGCAGTACAATTAAATGCTACTTTCATGAGTAATACAATAATACCTGCTATCACCCATCTTTTTACTTTTTTATTTTAATCATTTGTATTTTTCACTTTATTTTCTTTATGATTTATCTTAATCCTACTTTAATAATTTGCTGTTCAAAACATGACCTGAATCAGTGGGTGTTCTGATAAATTCAAAATTTCAGAATCACCAAAGTCTAGATCTAGCAAAACTGAAGAAGATGATGACTCATTTATGCCAGCCCTACCTCCTCACATGGTGAAATCTGCAGCCAAGAAGGAAGCCACAAAAGACAGTGAGGAGGAGGAGGATGCATGCGGCCCATCCCTACCGTCCCACGTACCGAAAAGCACATCAAAGAGAAAAGGAGATGAAAGTGAGGACAGCCATAACAAAGCTTCCAAGGTAGATACAGGAAACAGTGAAGAAGAATCTGGAGATGAGGATGATATGTATGGACCTGCATTACCACCACACCTGCTTCAGAAGAAGAAGAAGGATGGTATAGAACCATCCCAAAGCCAGAAGCGCGTGCTAGGACCTACTCTGCCCAAGGGTTACGTTCCTTCTGCTTCAACAATGCCTGTGCCAGAGGAAGGGGAGCAGCGAGAGCGATGAAGATGGTTTCGTTGTGGACCAATACCATCTGCAAAAAATAGATGAAGAGGAATACAGAATAAGACAGCTTGAGTATAGAGCAAAGAAAATGAAGGATAAATTGCAAGGAAAAGTAAGTATAACTTACCATATATTGAGACCCTGTTGGCAAATGTAATGCTTTTTCAGAAAATGATATCAGTTCATATGGTATACTGAAACCAAAAGACACATTTTCCTTTTTAACTTTCAGGGTGAAGACAAACCAATGCAAAGAGAATCTTGGATGCTAGAGCTTCCTGAAGACCGAAAAAGCTTTTGTGGTTTGGAAGCAAGGCAGTTTAGAAGAAAAGCACCCATGGAAAGGGGTGACCGATCAGTTTGGACAGACACACCAGCTGATAAAGAAAGAAAAGCTCAGGTAATGATTAAAGTATATATTTCCACGTGACACTCTTATTCCATGCAGATGACCACAAATATTTAATTAATATATATTTAGTTGGATATTGATTTAATTGTTCCTTTACCTTTACCCCTTCGTATTAGTGTGTGTAGCAGTAGGAAATGACCTTTATTATTCTTCAATTACTGGAAGCAATTTATTAATTACATCACTCAGCAAAAATTACTACATTTACAAGGGAATAGTAATCATCTTTGGTGATGTATAACCAGTTATTCTTTTTCTTTTTTTTCATTTTTATATTCTATCATTTTCCATCTATTCTATTTACCCCACTTTTTATCAGATGGGAACTGATGAAGATGGGAGAGATTATGCTCCAGAAGACATTGCAGCCAAGAAAAGGGGATGAAAAATTATCAGAAATGGTGGAGAGTTACAACTCAAAGAAGAGAGCAGAACCTTTGATCGATATGCATAAGAAGAAAAAGAAGGTAAGAGACTTCAAAGCTAGTGGATTTTTAACTATGATTTCTTCATGAATAGTATCAGTAACAGTATAGAAATTTATCAAATATTTAAAAATGGACACATTATATATGAGTTTAAGCTGAATGATATTTTCTTTCAGGAAATGGAACCCAAGGAAGGAAAGAAGGAGCGTCGTCCATTCAGCAGAGAGGAAGACATGAATGTTAATAAGTTTCGACGATGTTTAGCAGATAAAGAAAAGATT